TCAAACTTAAAGCACATTGAGATGAGCACCTAAAAACCAGAAAGAAGTTCAGCTTTTTAAAAGAAAAAGACTGGGGAAAGCAGTCTATTGACAGAAGTAAGTTCATTTTTTTTTATTGTTGTTTAGTCTTAATTTTCTCTTTGGATTTTTGGTTTCTGCTCATATGTAAGTGTATATATTGCAAAGACAGTGCAATGATCAGATGGTGCGATTCAGAATTCAGAATACTGGAGCCTAAATAAAAATATTTGTAGATGAAACCACTGTTCAGTCACTTGGTTAGAAAGATGAATAATAGTGAGGATATCTGTGTTTTGCAGCACAGTTAACTGTGTTTAGTATTATAGAATATATATGTGTATACACACATTTCTTAAAAGTATAGATCATATTTCTGTTCCTAGATCATTATCACTTTAGGGAATCTTGAAAGGGGAAGAGAAGCCTTTCTGTGCTAAAACTGGGAAAGGTAATTATGCAGAGTAGAAGAATATGTCAGGAATTTCCTATTTAGGGATCATCATTATTTTCCTTTGATGGAATTCCAGTATGCTTTTTATAAATGACAGTGGATGAAACTCAGGAGATGTGACAGCGAAGAAAAATAATACTGAGCATTTAATGCAGAAACATATGAAAATTAACATTTTCAGCCCTTTGTGTAGGTTCAGCTTCTATTTGGCATTTTTTCTGAGCAGCACAAAGCAGAACAAGACAGTCTCTAAGCAGTGGTATCACAACCCCTCTTAGACCAATGGATCAATCCAGGGGTGTGAACAGCTGTGTAGGAAACTATAACTGGGCCACAATTTCCAAGTGTAGATGAAATTGGTAGCTTTCCCACCCATGCCCCGAGTACAATCCAAGTATTTCAGCAGCATGCCAAATCTCCATGTAATATAGAGCTCTGGAATGCACCCTGCTTCTCACATCCTATGCTAACAGGGCTTTAACTGGCGTAATTTAGAGCAGGGAAGACGTGATGATGCTTCCACACATGATGAATGGTGTGCATGACAAGTTGACTTCTTAAAAATTTATCTTTTTGTAGTCTGCTTTCTTGATGCTAATTCATCTGGGGGAAAATTGATATTCTTTTTTTCCTTATCCTGTTTTCCAAAGAATTCTAGCCTTAAGTGATTGAATATTCCATTTGCTTTTCTTCTTCCCCTTCAGGTCACTTTTGAGTCCATTGATAAATCAGGAGCTGGAGAGCCCCTCTGTTGTCTTGAGTCGAGGGGGAATTCAGTGAATTTTTTTCCCTTTCTTTGCTCTTTGCCTGGTTGACTGCCAGTGAGCCCTGTGGGCCAGGCTGGCCAGGCTGTCCTCAGGGTGCCCAGCCAGCAAACCAGGCAAACACGGACCGGGAGATGTGCCAGGGGCTGATCCTACATGTGGGAGGGATCTCAGGGCATTGTGCTGGGACGGGGAATACAGAAGGACACATGCAGGACAGGGAGCATTGAATCACTCAGATTGGAAGATAACTTGAGTGGTCATTTGGTCCAGTCTCTTACTCAAACCCGGGTCAACATTAAATTCAGACAGGGTTGTTTAGGGCATTATCTGGCTGAGTTTTAAAATCCTGGGAGGTGGGAGAGTCTACAACTATTTTGTACGAAGTGTTCCAATTTGTCTTCGTAAAAGAATTCTTCCCTATATCCAGTCAGAAACAGCTGTTTCAGTTTATGAATTTATTTCTCATTCTTCTTCCAGGCAGCTTCAGTAAAGAGTCTGACTCCACCTTTGCAATAAACTCCCCACTAAGCCTTCTTCCTCCAGGATGAACCCTCAGGTTCTCCTCTTACAGGTCATATGCTCCAACTCCATAACCATCTTTCTTGGACTCAATTTTTTTCAGGTTTTTCTTGTACCAGGTGACCCAAAATGACAGTATTCTGGACGTGGGCTGGGTGAGGAGGAATAATCGCTTCCCTTGCTGCACTGGTTCCTGTCGATCCACCATTCTGCTGTAGACACAGCCCACTGTGCTGCTCCTGTTCATCATGACCAGGGTGCACTGCTGGATCCTGGGCAGCCTCCAGGCTCTTCTGCTTCCCATCAGTGCTGCTGCCCTGCTAGGCAGGCAATCCCCAGCTGGTGTTCTTCCAGAGAGTGAGTCCATCCCAGGTGCTCTGGGCTCATCCCTCATGAATTTCATGAGGTTCCTTTCCCTCTGCACCTCAGTGTGGTGCCATCTGTGGGGAGGATGCTCTGTGTCTCACCCCTGAGACAGCTGTTAAAAGGGCCAAGTCCCAGGACAGATTCCTGAGGGATTCCATGGCCTTCAGGTACTTTTCTGGACTTGAGAATACTGTGTTGAGGGACTTAGGAGAAGAAAGTTACTGATGAAGAGGGCAAAGGACAAGAATCTGAAGGAACCAGGAATCTCAGAATGGTCTGTTGGTTATGGATGAGTTTCTGAAGAGTTAAATGGACAAGACAAGCTGTCTAGTGGTTGAATTTACTTAAAGTCTTTAAAATTAGGAAAACCTTTATTGTGAAAAAACCAAGATGGTGATAGTTCTTTATTAGGAAAGGAGTGTGTGTGTTTTCAGGGAAGTTGGGTAGCTGTAGTTACACCACTGAAATTCAAAGAATTTTAACAATTACTCCCTCATACCCTTACCTAGAATACTTGGCAGAATTTTCCATCTCAAACCTCATTTCTGGATACCAGTTAATTAAATTTCCCTTCTTTCTTGCATTTTATCCTTCAGACTAGGGTTTTTTGATTGATGGCTTTGCTTACACATGTTTGCATAATAAAATGGTGCATGCTCAAAATAGGCCTTGATAGTGCCAGTCTGACTCGCAGGAATCGCTCCTGCCCATAGGAATTGTCCTCCTGACTTCAAGGGCTTCATTTGCCTGGGTGGCACTTGCAGCGTTGGGATTTAATGCGTGTGTCTGCTTTCCATTACACATTCAGCTCTCAGCAGCCTGAGCGGGGTTCCAGCTCTATTACACACCACAAATTGGGCACCCAGAAAGGTTTAATTTAGTTTTTTTCCCACGATAAGGCGAAAATCAGTTAAAAAGTTTATATATGTACGTGGTGCTGCAGTCCTTAAGGTACCGTGCGCGATATGGAGCCGGTGATGGCTTAACTCGGTTGAAGAGGTAAAGACTTCAAAGGGTCCTTGGAAAAAAAAAAAAAACGAGGAGAATTGTGCCGTGGGAGAGGCACGGCAGCGGAGCCGTGGTACGGCAGCACTGAAAGGGGCTCGGCAGGAGCCACGGGAAGGGGCCGGTCCGGGGATGGGACAGCAGGGAGGGACCGGTCCGGTGATGGAACAGCAGGGAGGGACCGGTCCGGTGATGGGACAGCAGGGAGGGGCCGGTCCGGTGATGTGCTGCGGGAAGGGGCCGCTCCCGGCGGGGCGGGAGCCAAGGGAAGGGGCTGATCCCAGTGATGGAGACGCAGGAAGGGACCGCTCCCGGTGATGGAGCGGGCGCTGACAGGAGCCGGCGGTGCTGCCGAGCGCTGCCAGCTCGGCTCACATCACATACGGGGATGGAACTGAGCACCCGGGCCGGGGAACACACCGCTCACAGCACACACGGGGTGAGGGGAACACACCGCTCACACCACACACGGGATGAGGGGAACACACCGCTCACAGCACACACGGGATGAGGGGAACACACCGCTCACACCACACGGAATGAGGGGAACACACCGCTCACAGCACACACGGGATGAGGGGAACACACCACTCACAGCACACACATCCTGAGGTGAACACACCACTCACACCACACGAGATAAGATGAACACACCGCTCACACCACACATCCTGAGGTGAACACACCGGCGCTCACTTCCCCCACCTCATTTTTAGGCGTGTGGTGGTTCCTTGCCCCGGAGTTTGGCCGGGCAGAGGTGGGAACGCCTCGCCGAGCAAACAAGCTCGGGGTCCCCTCACAAAGGAGGATTCCTCCTACAAGTCGCACTTTCCAAAACAGTCTCAGAAAAACGTCCTGTGGTGGTTTGCATATCCATTATGTGTCCCAGCCAAAGCGCTCTGAGGAGTTTTGTGCTCATTCAGTGGAGAACTGACTCGGTATAATCAGCTTATTTATTCTCTTATGGGTGGGTCATCTCTAAGGATCCACACTAAATTCAACTACTGATATTTTCTTGTATGAAATATTTATATATATATCTATCTGTGTTTACACAAGGAGTTTTCTATACAGAGAACTGTCCTGCTGGGACAACTCATATGTTTGCCTTGGCAGGACTGTAGCTTAGATTAGTGTGTATATTCATGTATCTACAATTTTAGATCTAATACTTTGTAATTATTTTGATGAATTTAGGAATCCCTAAGTGTTATCTATATTATTCTTTCTGAAACTTAGGTGTTTTTTAAATATATCAATACATTAGACAGCAGACTGTTTGCTTTTCTTATAAACTCAGTACGAAGTATCAAATGTCCAGGTAACTATGAATATGTGTTTGGGGGATAACTGATGTTTCTAAATAACTTTGTTGTATGACTTCTTCATATTCAATTAATAGGGATTTTTTCCCCTAAAGAATTTCTGTTGTCAGTACTATGCCAATAGTGTAGGCTAAAGGATGGAACAGTGTGCTTTGGGCTGCAGCCTCACCTCATGGACACTGAAATTCATTTGCAATAATGCTTCTGAAAACAAAGAAATTGCTTTTTCTCTTGTAGAACAACTGAGAACTCAAATTGTCTCATATTCTGTTATGCTTTCTTGTAATATATTAGGATAAACTTCAGCAAAGTTCTTAAATGCTTTCAAGTGTTAAAGAAATTCTCTGATTTCTCTTTAAAACTTTTAAAATACAGTCACATCCTTTCCAAGGGATCATGAACATGTCACCAAAGCCACATAAATATGCAGTCGTGGATTTTTCTATTCAAGAAAGCGAAGTTATGGCTTAAAGCCCTTTAGAAATTTGGGGTTTCTTTTGTGGGGGGTTAAGCTAATTCTGTTTTGTTTTGTTTTCTTTGCTTTAGCTAAAAAACTAGGAATCACTGATGTGCCAGCTGAGGTCGTTACTTTTATTTCCCATGCAACACAGAACAGATTGAGGACAGTGATAGAAAAGGTGACAGTGATCACCCAGCACCGGATGGAATCATACAAAGTAAGTGCACAAACAAAGGTGTTGTATTTACAGAGACACGTGGTGCTGCTTTTCCTCAGCACACGGGGATGTTTTGGTTTGTTCTGGGTGCAGAGCTTGTCTCAGCTGCAGGTTTGACCCCCTCAGTAATCAGAGAGCTGGGATGGTGGATCTGTTGTCAGCTCCGTCTCCCTCCTCTGCCACAGAATTTGGGTGTGAATTGTTTTGTCTTTCTGTGCTAAAGTGTCTGACATGGAGCATCTGCTGAGCTGTTTCTGCTCATGGGCTGCTGATTCTTGATAGCTCCTTTTTTGACCAAGATGTCTGTTAATTGGATCAAAATTGCTTTGGTATTTCAGAATCTGTAGTAACTTTACGTGTCCTTGGCTGTGAGAAATATTAGTATTTTGCAAAAGCTACCAATGTGTCTTAAATGAGCAACTAAAGAATTCAGCTCTAAATTCTTCGCTGTAATTAAACATGATTTTCTCTTTAAAAAGAGCATTTAAAGGTAAAATGATTCTTTTGTTGGTGGTTGTGTTCGTTAAGAAAACTGAAACAATTTTGATATCTTAAACCGGGGGGGGGGGTGGGGGGGAATTTAAATAAGAATCTGCAAACCAGGTTGAAATTCAAATGAATCAAACATCTTTATTGACACATTTAAAATACCTCTTTCAATAGAGGTAAGATGCTCATGGTTATTAAACTGGTGTAAAAGCAAGATGGCAATAACTGGTTGTGTGTTGTCTAAGCTGTGTTTAGATTTCTTTAGCATATATGTACACTGAGTGGCTCTGGTTTAGTTTTTTTCTTGGTTTTGTGGTGTACTGTTCTGTTGTCCTGGACTGGAAGTCTGGTCAAACATCTTTGGACTGCATCTTTGCCCACCTGTCTCCCAAACCTGAGTCACAGTTGGACTAATTCCGTGGGATATTTGCAGAAATAAACCCCTTTGGCATCTCTGACTACACCAACGTTGTTGTGATAGGAAAAGGGATTACAAAAATAAAGGCCACTATTCCTGATTATTACCTGCACTTGCATCTTTCATTGCAGTCCATGGATATATTCTACTGTATTGGACTAAAAGCAAAATCTCCTTGTTTCTTAGTCAGTTTTCTGACTGACATTCTAAGTGTTCCCATGTGGCTCATGTCACAAACTCTTCTGTTTGTTGTGTTCTAGGGAAGCTTAAATGCTCTTAGTTGTAATAAACTTCAGTTTTAATTGTCATTAAAGGCTTATTTTCAACTTAATTTTTAGCTTTAATGCTCTTATAATGCTGCATCTTGATACAGTCTGTTACTAGTTCAAGGTGAGTACAGATACAGGAATTTTAGGTGGTAAGCCTGGTTATAAACTGTATCTGGGATTATTCAGTAATAAACATCTTAGAGGTTTTTCATCAGTAAGTCTGTCAGTAAACTGATGTCTCTGGTGCTGATAAACCAATCTTTGTTTTTTGATTTGCTTAGATATTAATTAAATAATCTGCATTACTAACCATAGGCTGGCTTCATTCCCTGAGCTTAAAAACCAGAAATGTTCTTTTTATTGTTCATAGAGTGGAAAGATTTTAATGTAGAACACCTTCAGTCTTGGAATGCATAGTCTGGATAAAAAAGGCTGTTTTTCTAGAACACTGTCCCTGTTTTGCAGGATGACGAGTGGTATGAACAAGCTACAGATGTCCGAGCACAGCTGAAGTTCTTTGAGCAGCTGGAGCGTTTGGAAAAGCAAAGGAAAGATGAACAAGAGAGGGAAATCTTGTTAAAGGCTGCCAAGGTATCAGTTTCACTCTCCTTTTTTTAACTGCTTTACCGTTCATAGTCTTTAAACAGTGAATTGATTTTGTGAGATCTGTTTCATAAACACATTTTGTTTCTCACAACAAAAATACTGTTGAGCCCTTGAAGTCCTTCGGTCAAGCTCTGCTCTGTGGTGACTCCAGACCCACCTTCTGTGTTTTGAGGATACAGCTCTGGATTTGAGGAGTTCTTGGGAATACAGGAGACAAGGGCCAAGATTCTCAAAGTAACTCTGTGAAATAATTTGTGCAATTGCCTTTGAAGTTTAATAGATGCCAGGGTTTGTGTGCCACTTGAAAATCATACCCTACACTTCTGGTATTTAAACACAATTCAGTCAACTCTTTGGGATTTTTTTTTGAGGCTTTTTACTTTTTAAGTTTCTAGGCTTTGTTTTTAAACAGTTTTTTTCATTTGTTTATCTTAATTTGTGCTCTGTACCTGCATTATATGATTGATTCATGCCTGTCTTCAGTGAACTGTCAGTTCTTCTGGGCTGGCTCTTTTGTAGCTTCATTTCCAGAGACTCAATTTTCATCCATGCAATAGAACAAACTCAGATAATATTGTTTAAAGAGCACATAGATATAGATAAATCTCCTGCTTGTAACTGTATATTTAATTATATATATATCACATCAAAGTGCAAATAAGTTTATCCCTTAGTTGTCCCATTTCTAATTGTATTTGAATTTTCACTGACTTACTTATTTTACATGCTGAAAAGATGATACAGAACAGCTGAATGTTCAGTTGTAACACAGCCTCCTGATTTTGTGCCAATAATGTTCACAAACTGAGAGATTTATTTTTTTTTTAAACCTAGCCTTGCTTGTTTCAGAAATATGTTTCTCCATTAGGGTACTTTAATTTGTCCACTTTGCACTCTTAATTTATAGTTGCTCACATTGTTAAATAGTCCACAAATTTTCCCATAACATTAGATACTCTTTAAATGTCTTGATGAAAACAGACTTGCTGTTTTCACTCTCAATTCTTACTTATTAGAAATAAAGAAATGCCTATTTATTTTTTATCCTGTTTGCTCCATTCAGTGAATACACCTTGATGGATTGTGTTTTCTGTGGATCCTGCTGCTTGTTGTTTGTTTTGGTTGCTTTTTTTAGTGGACATGGAGAAAAATGCAGTAGCTCATAGTCCTTAGCTCAGAAATGTTTCCCTGAGTGCACAAAGCAGGTTGATCTGAGAGTGGGTTAGATGAGCTCCCCTTCTTCCTTCCAATCTGAATTCCTTCATGAATTGATATTCTGTAGTTTGTTTGGGTTTTTTTCGGTTGTTATTTTAGTCTTGAATAATATAAACTCCCGTGAAGTCAAAATTTAGGAAATAAATACACGATCATCAAGTTTGATTCCTACAGATTACAGAAAGAGCAAATTGAAGAATTCTGCAGCACACAAATGTAAAAGAGCCCCCTAATTGATTAGAAAAAATTACCTTAATGAAAATAATGAACGCACAAATCAACTTCATAACCAGGGAATTGTAGGAGACAGCTTGATACAACACATGGTATACTAGAAAAATACATGAAAATATTGAAAAATCAAACCCAAACCACAAAGTAGCCATGGAAGAGCAGTGCTGGTTTATCAGTGTTAATGTTTAGGGAGAGAAGTTGAAGATGATGTGATTTAAGGGGAAATGCCAGTTTGGAACTGAACTTTGTGGAGTGTTCAGCTGGTGCTCCCCATTCTGTTCCAATGGATTGACAACCTATTGCAAGACTTGACAAAGGACATAGTTTGGCAAAAATATGGTCAGATTACTATTTTTTATTCTAAAGAACAGATTTTTCATTATTTCCTTAAGATCTGTGGTACTCCTGAAATGCAAAAGTGTCTGTCCATGGACAGTGATATCTGTTGAAGTCTTTATGCTGAATTCCTACATGCTAATTCCTTCCCTTGGAGGGTTTTTTTTTTATGGTCCTTTATGAACTTGCCTAAGGATCTCTCAGTCCTCATGGAGAGGATGCAGTAACTGCGGTGGCACAGTTCAAATCTGCCCTGATAAACAGGGATTGTGTCTGCAAAGGGGGCAGTGGTGGCACTGACTCTGGGGACTGAAATATCCACGTGCAAATGGGTTGTTTCCCCAACCACAGCACCTTTGTCACCCTGACAGTGTTGTCTTTAAAGGATAGAAAACTTCGGGGTTTAAAATGAAATTGCTGTTTGTTTGGGTTTTTTGCTACAGACGCTTAAATCTAAAAATCATTATTTATTTTTAACTGCAGCTTCTTAATGGGCCTTTTAGACAAACTGAGTGATTTTTTCTCTTGTGTTTTGACATATTGTTTTGCAACATGTTTTTAAAGTTACTCAGCAGAATAATTTTAATGAAAATTTCAGAACTTCCTGCCAGTGGTACCTCATCTGCTGCCCCATGTGGAAGAGCATAAACAGGTTGAATGTGCACAGTGAAAATTCTTTTTTAATTACTTACAATTTGGAGCCCTGTTAACAGCCAAAGTCCAGGTTTTGACAAAGAATGGGATAGTGAAGGAAATGTTCTGGGCAATGGAGTGGATGGTATTAAATGATCAACCTAATCACAGAATAATCAATGGAGAAGATAACGAAAAATGAAGGAATAGATTGAAATCAAAGGGGAGGCAGCATGAGTCTTGGGGAAGCCTTGAAGCCAATTGGGTGATTTTGCATTAGGGCTCAGTAAGGGGTAAAAAAAATGCAAATGATGGTCAAGGAAAGTGTCAGGTTTGCAGGTCTTTGTTGTTTTGGGTGGTGGGTTGGTCTCATTAGGAGGAGAAAGGAAAATATTTGACAGGAGTGTTGTGGTTGATCTGCAACCACAATTCCAGTTGTTACAGTAGGATGTGCTTGCAGAGTTTGTAAGCACCCAGATGGGGCTGGGTTTGCTTCAGGAACTGTTTTTAGGAGAATGAGAGAACAAATCAGATGGGGAGATGGAAGAAAAAAAAAGTTAGGTTTCAAAAAATACAATTTTTGACATTCTGACAAAAGTCACTATCTAAGTTAAAATGAGTTGTGAAGCTCACAGGTAACAAAATAACAGTATTATTTAGCTTGTTAAATGAGAGAATATTGTAAAATCTCATGTCCCATGCCTGGGAAATAGTTGAGAAATAGAAACTTCATCTCACAAGCCTGGAAACATAACAACTGATGTTCTCAGGCCAGTGAGAGCTTTTGGGGGAAGATAAATTTGACAGGAAAGGCAAAAATCATACTGTACTATAGCAGCAATGCAGCATATAATTTCTTTTAAATTAAACACCTAAACATTGAACCCACAAGCCTGCTGTTTTAGGAGCTGGAATCATCTCTTGCACCTCAGGGGTCCTGCGTTGTGTCCCACAGCGTCCCCCGATGTCCCCACACCAGCCTAGCCCACGTGGCCCAAAGCATTGCTGTAATACATTCCCAGGAATCCTTTTTATTACAGAAGTGTTCCAAGACATGTTGGTGCCCAGACTGTGGGATCCAGCCTGGGATCCTCCTGCTGCTGGGACAGCTCCTGTTTCCCACCCTGGTGAGGTGCCACGTGCTCTGCAGGGAGACGGGCACTGCAGCTGCCCTCAGTGCTTTGGGGTTCCCTCCTGACACGTGCAAGAGGCTCCAGGAGGGGCCATCTCGTAGCTGAGCACAGGGAAATATTCGGGAGAGTCAATTCCTGGCCCTTGTTTGTTTTCCCAGTCAGGCCCCACCGGCTGTTGCTCCCAGGAGTGTGCAGGGCCAGACATCTGCCGCTTGGGTCTGTGCTGGCTGGGACGGCAAAGAGCAGGGAGAGCCGAGGGAAGAGCTGCAGAAAGGTCAAAAGCCAGGCTAAAATCACCTGAGGAATTTCCATTTGACATGGTGTGCGTTGTGTGTGGACTTTCTAAAAAAAACCAAGCCCAGCATAGCACAGGTTTTACACAGTAACTCTGTTCTTGCTGCTTTCAGAGCTGGTTCCAAAACCTGGCAAGTGCAGGTGCTGTCTGTCAAAATGAAGGAAGTTCTGGTTCTGGTCTAGTAATATTTCTGGCAGCAGGAGGAGCAGGAGGTTGTAGCTGATTTGTTGTTGTTTTTTTTTATTTTATTTCTGATTTTTTTTTTAGAGGGTGGTGCTTTATGCAGTGAAGATACACAGCTGGGGGTTGTCCTGGTTTTCAGAACATGAATGAATCATACTTGTGTGTTATAATGTATAACAAAGTGGATCATGTTAAAATTACTGTGTTAATTCATCCGCTCAAACTGTCTTAATGCATGTGTATTTCATTATAAAATTAATTTTGGAATTTAATTTCCAATATATGCAGTCTGTTAGTCTGTTCTTTTGAGTGTTCTGTATTAGTAGCACAAGCCTGTCAAGTTTTTGGATCTTAAATACGACTATCACAAGAATAAGATCTGTTCTATAAAAAGAAAATTTACATAAGTAAATGGAAAATTATGTTCAGAGTTGTTTGCAAAGTTAATTAGCATTTATGGATGATAGTGATTTTTATAGTACTGTGGGTTGAAGGGCTTCTTTTATTGGAGAGCTCACTGGAATTTGGGGATGCAGATTCCCTTACACACGCCCTGGGAGGACTCGAAGGGGCTGCTCTGTGAGGCAGAGATGAGTTCAGCTGTCACGGCAATTTAATCCTTCCCCTCTCTGCTGAGAGCAGCCTTCTGTGAGATGGACTTGGAACTCCCTTCTGATGAGAGCAGAGCAAAGGGGGGAAATCATCGCGCTGAGATAATTTTCTGAATTTTTTAGGGATTTGTTACTGCAGTTTTAATGATTTCAATATAAATCATTTCTCCCACCTGAGCTCCTGCATTCCAGCTCAGCGTGGCTGGAACATCGAGGAGCGTTTTACACCCTCAGCTATGATGCTTTTAACTTCCACTTTTTATTAACAAAGCTAATGTGAAAGCAAAGTGTTTCATGTTGCCGATTTAATTTCTTTAATTAGAAGTGAAAGTTATAAGCTGGTACAGCCGTGGGTGAAGTTCTAATGTCATCAATGGGGAAAAAAATAGGTTTCAAATTGAAACTGTTGGCACAGCAGTGGCTCTCAATAGCACAGCACCTGCAGTTGTGACTCTTGACTTTATTTAATGAAAAAAGATGAAGTCGAAGCTTTAAAGACTCCAGTGCAAGTATTGGGAAGGGGCAGTAGAGCTGCAAGTGCCTTAACTGGGATCAGGTGTAGCTAAATGCAGGAGACACCCTGGGAGACATTTCCTAACAGGGGTGGAACAAGCTGAGAATTCAAAATTCTTACAAATCTAATAGAAACCTTTTTTTTTTTTTTTTGTTAGCGGGACAAAAACTTAACAACAGTGCAACTTTGATATTACTAAATCTTGAGTAATTTTGATAATTACATGCATCATAATACTATTAGTCTGTCCATCTGCATACATAGAGAGTATCCTCCAATTTCAAAAGTAATTGGTGCTTGTATGACTTATTATTTTAAAAATACCATTGCTTTCTAATTTAAGGCAATTCTGTGAAATCCAAACTCCCCTTCATGTGACACTGTTACATGTGCAATTGTCTGTTTGTGTGGCCTCTTTCCTTAGCACAAGCCAGGGGTTTGGAAAAGCTGAGGTTTGGAACATTAGGGAGTTTGGTAACATGTAAACGAACCCCCTTATTCCTCTTGTGCTTTGAATACACACATTAAAATATGCTGCTTTTCATACTTTGAAAGCCCAGGATTTCCATAGAACTAATGTGATCTATGCAGGTTTCAGATAAATAGGATAGCAAGTTCTCCAACACAAAGCACTTTCATTCTTCACTATTAAAATATCAGGCTGTCTGGTCTAATAAAATTAACTCGTGTTTGGGAGAAATGTTAACAAACCTGGTTTGGTGAATAAGTTCTCAGTAGGAGACAGCATTTAATGTATTTAAAAAGTATGTTATCTGGTTAGGATCAGTCCTAGGTTTCTCTAAAATTACTATGGGAAGCCAGCTTGCTTCTAAAGGTGTTTATTCATCAACAGGAAAATACATTACCTAAATGCAGCTTGCTTTATTTACAGATTTAGGCATGATGAACAGGGAGGGCAAGACAAAGGAGTTGTGATAAACTCCTTGAAAGGATTTGATTTGATTTGATCTGTGATCAGGGGGTGTTTCCAAAGCTGTGGAGGAAGGAGACATTGGTGCATTAAAAGATTTTGGGAAAGCATGTTTCACAGAGCAGGTGAGGTGCTGCATATTGAGATTTGGATGTTAGAGGGGAAAGGAGAAAGGAAGAGAAACCCCAAAATATGAATGACTTTGAAGAAAAAGTTAAACTGCCATTAAAAAAAACCAAAAACCTAGGAATGATTAATCAGTAGCTTGACAGAAGTAAGTGTAAAATGCTAAAACAATTGCTCAGGAAAAATGGTGCCATGCAGACAAGCACTGCAGGAGCTGAGCAGCAGCAACACTGGTCAGACTCTTCAGAGGAAGGGAAGGATGTTCACGTGTGGAATGGAGTGTAAAGGCAGCCCAATGACATTTTTAAAGCTTATCTAGGCACCTCTGTTAAGCTTGACATTTTCATTTGCTTTAATCTGTGTTGCATCAGCATTGAAGAAGCATTTCATAATTTACATTAGATGGTAAAGTGAAGAATTAATGAAATAGTGGATGTTTATACTTGCCCTGTAACACGTGTTAGCCTCCATATGCTGATTTTATTTCTGAAGGTTACTGGCGTGGTAGGCAGCAGGAACATAACTTAGTTTTTAAAATCTGGTTTTTTAAGAACTATTAAAATTTGTCTGAACACAAAAAGAAACAGAAAAAAATTACAGTTAAATTCTTCAGGTTTTTTAGTAGCAATGACACGTGCAATGTGAAGTTGGAATTCTGCTTGTTTGAAATGAGAGCTAGCCTGAGCTCTTTGCAAGGGCTGTTTGGTGTGGATTCAAGGAATAACTAGAAACTCATTGCATTATTCTAAGTGTAAAAGTAGTTCTACCTTCACCTTCGGTCTGGGTGTATGTATGTAACTTCACCTGGTATTTTAGATCTTCATTATTGAAACAAAATCCTGTATATAGTATCATTCAGGAGCTACGTATCTGTTCTCACCTCTGCGGTAATTTTCATTATTTATTTACTGTGACCAAGCTGGAGGTTTACACAGAGCAGATCACCTGCTTTTGCTTGTTGAGATTATCCTGAACTCCAGATCTAATTTTATTTGTTAAGGGGTTTTTTTGGGGGGGGGAAGGGAGGAAAGCCCCCACTCTTAAATGTGTTACTTTTTTACTCTGTAGCACTTCCAGAGTTTTTCCTTCACTGGCAGAGTCTAGGAAATCGCAGTGTTACTTCACATCTCTTGCTTTAATTTTCCTTACAGTGTCCCCAAACACAATGCAGATCTGGTGTGTTTTCCAGGGTTCTGTCACTTCCTCATAGAAAGTTGGTAACAATGTTAGAAGCCTCAGCTGCACTCTCCCAGGACACTCTGCCTTCTCCTTAAGCTGATGTGCTTTTAACTTGTGCTTTGCATTTGGCAAACGTTTCAGCTTCATACAGTGGTGTAACAACACTTTGTGTTTCTGCACTGCCTTCACTCTGAGGCTCACAAGGCAATAGAAGTTCATTGTACAGTTATAAATTTATCATCAAAACCCATGAAAGGGCTAAATGTGCTTTTTCCACACATCGTACTGGAGAAACTGAGGCTCACAGTGATTGAACTGGCAGGGCAGAACCACAGAGCAAGGACTAGTTCAGCTCAGTTCATAAATACCTACCTGAGCCCATCTCCTGGAGAAGCAGCTCACCCAGTGGGGGTTTGTTCATTTGGTTTTCTAACCTAATAGGTATAAACCTAATCAAGGTTTTAATAACTGCTGTGCTGAACAGAGCCCCAGCTCTCTGGCACATCCACATATGTCATGTAATACCTTTTTGGCCCTTGAATATTAACTAGGTCAGGTTATTTACACTTTTGTTTGGCCACAGCATTAGAAGGAATCTCAGTTTGTGTTAAGGAGGAGTTTCTTTTTGGTTGGCACGACTACAACACGAGAGTCTGGCTTGGTCATTGGCTCCCTCAGGCTTTAATTTGTCCTTCCTTTACTGCAGACACTCTCCTGTCAAACAGCCTGTTGTGGCAACAGGCACAAAAGGTGTTGGTGTTGGAAGGTGTTGGTTGGTGTAGATGGTGTTGGAAGGTGGAGCTGATGTGCACAGTGGGAGAGTGTGAAGCACATCGTCTAAAAACCTCATTATTGTTTAATTTGACCATTCTTTATCATCACTGTGTTTTATATGTGTGCTACGTTAGCTGAGAAAAAATAATCTTGAGTTAAAAAAACCAAACCAAACCAACACAAACCAACAAAAACTAACAGGAAAAAGGGTAGAGAATTCAGTGCCATTGTTGCCCTGTCTGTCAGATCATAGCCAGGGCACTCTCCAGGTGTATCAAGAATACTACATGACTTCTTTAAGGGCAGGCTCTTCAACTGATCTCCCTTTGGTTTTCTTAATGGATTTTTAAATTCTGAACAGAACATGATGTGAGAAATTCAAACACCAGGAAAAAATCTGAGCATATGTAAGTTTGCAGACCGATATTCTTCCAGGTTTCATGTCTGTCTTCAGCATAGCAATAATCAGAGGAAAACAGATAGGAGAGGGCACAGATAATCCTTTAGGAGTTGTGTCAATGGTATCACCTTAAATCTCGAAGAAATACTGAAATAAAACTCCTGCATCTCTCAGGTATCAGGAACAACAGTTTTCCTGGATGTCACAAGTTCTGTTGCAGCTTCTTGCAAACTTTTTCTGCAGCCTTTGCTGAACTCTGACCTATCAGGCAATTATAAAAGTATAACACCTGTATTATCTGCCTCTTGAGTTTTGAATTCCATAATTTTGAATGCTCAGTGAGCACAAGTAAGAATTGAATAGTTTTAACATCTGCTTGTAAAACAGTCTGTATCTAAAGAAATGCACTGCTCTGGGTTGTTTTTGCAGTTAAACAATTATTCTTAATGGGCTTTTAGAGCTGCTGTTCCTGGTTTTGAAGGAAAATACAGAGGTTACCATTGAGCAATATTTATCCAGTTTTGGAAGTGCCAATATTAATATCAGCAGTGCTTGAATGGGTTTAAGGTGTGTGTGTTCCTGGGCTGCACTCCCAGTGAGCTCAGAGGGGTAGAAGCATCTTTATTATGAAGATTTACCTTTTAGGAGGGTGACTTTGCAGCTGTTTTCTCCACATTCTCTAATGAAAAACTGAGTTGCAAACAGTAAGTTTTAAAATCAGTGACTGTAAGGACTTAAATAAAAAAGATAAATAAATAAGATAAAAATAAATAAGATAAATTAAAAAGATAAATAAAAGAGATAAATAAATAAATAAGAAATGGTGTCACTTCCACTCTTGGATGCTCGAATTTGTTTGTATGAAATAACTGAAATCTAAACCTATATGGAAACTTTAGCATTGACAAAAACATGTTTTTTTTGGGGGGGGGGGTGGGTTAGTTTGTTTTAAATTTAAATCCAGGGTAGATCTGATTTACAACTGAACATTTAACAGCCTTTTGGGTGAGGTTTATGGCTTCGAAATTGCTTTTCTATCAATTTAAGTGTCCCGTGTTTGAGACTTTGTATCCTGTTCCTATTTCTTTGCTATTTTTTAACTTACTGCAACAGATGAGGGGTTCTTAAACCATCTGTTAACCTTTTTTCCCCATTTTTTTTCAAACATGTAGAGTCGCTCAAGGCAAGAAGACCCAGAGCAAGCTAGACTGAAACAAAAAGCAAAGGAGGTAAGCAGAGCTAGAGATCATTACACTTGACATTTCAAGGCTTGAACATATTAATTTTTTATGCCTTGCTACTTGTATATCGTTAATAAAAATCTGACTAAAAACTTTTTAGGATGTATTTGTTGCTTTGCCTTTGATCTTAATGTTTGCAAACTAATACATTAATACATGGGAAGCCTAAGGAGATTTTATAAGAGAATATTTCCATACATTACATTTTCATTTCCATTTTAGGTAGCTGTAGCTTTTGTTGGGTTGTTGATGACAGCAGCTCTAGATTTTGGTGGAAAATATGTGCCTTTGTCTTTTTTGTAAAATGTCACTTTCTTAGAAATGTGCCACTTAACAATTTTGTTCTGGTAACGTTCTTTCAAATAAGATAATTGCCAGTCAGTTCCTCTGCCGTGGAGTATTTACTCATCTGTCTATATTACAATAATTAAAAATTATCAAATAATTTCAGATCAAGTTGTGATGTGTTGCTCTAAGAATAACAGTTTGTGAACTACTGAGTACCTTAATTTGCTTTAAATTGGAGTGACTGTCCTTTCCTTAAGGCAACTCATGCTTTAGGACTGGGTTGTAACTTAAATCAGTTAGAAAGGCTAAAATATCTATCAGTTGAAAGTAACTTCAGCAAACTGATGCTGGTTTGTTTTAGCCAACTTCCTTGGATATATACATTAACAGGTAATAATTATACATTAGAAGCTAATATATACAGAAAAATGCAAGTTTTGTATTGACCTGTTCTTCCTGTTGTGTTTCCCCCTTGGCAGTGTTCTATAGTCCCGTTAACTATATAGATTTTTTATAAAAGCACTAAAAAAATTCCAGATTCATGGCTGAGTTTTATTTCTTTATTTCGTTATGTGATTGTGTAGTAAGATTTGCTGAAGTGAATTCTTGTAAACATTAGACCAGGCCTTAGTGTTTCCAGAGCTGGATTTGTCAAGCAAGTATTGAAATGAAATAGAGTAATCAAGTTATTTGGCAGGAAAAGAGACGGGATTTTAATACTCCTTGGGCTTTGTATGTAGCTGGTGTATGCAAAGGAAGAATCAGATAATTAATGGCAGGCAAAACTTGCTGCTGAGCTGAGAACCAAAGCTGCTGGAAGTGCAAGTGGGCTGGAATTGCATGCATTGCTGCCACAGAATTTGCTTTCGTGGCAATCCTTTTTTGGCCACTGGAAACTTGAGGAAGAGAAAGCGATCAGCGGGGTCCAAGCCCCACCTTTCCAGTGGTCAGAGCGC